TTTCGTTGAAATTACACAACTTTCTAAGCTGTCATTAATTTTTAAATAAATAAATTAATAAATGGAACTTACCTATCTTGTAAAATAAAGTTTAAGTTTTAAAATGAGATGTGCGTCTCAATACGTCCAATTGAACCAGAGATATGGTAAAATTGGTGCGCGCAGAGACGGAAAATGTAAGATATTTGCACTAAATTTGCAATAACTTTGGTTAAAGTTAATCTTTTTTTAATTTTCAAAAAAATATATGTTTGTTATGAGAAAACGTAACTATTAACGGATAATAAATTGTACTAGCTATAAAAATAAACTTTTTACAAACATTTAAACATTCAATTTGTTAATAACAATTAAACTGACCACTTTCAGGCTTTGCCACCAAGTTTTTTGGTTTCAGGAACTCAAAATACTTAGGAATAAGTTGTTTGCAGCCGTGGCATTCTGTTTGGCTACAGAACCCTATCTGGCCCCTAGACTAATACGAGTGTAGTAGCAAAAAGTTATCGGTTTTTTATCAAAGGAAAATCGTGTCAACAAATTGAATTTAAAATCTAAAATACCGGCTGTGTTCTCGTAGTAGCTGTAGTCGCCCAGGTGCATCGAGTGTACGAAGTGGTGGGTTATACGTCAAATACTAACCTGGCGAGCTTGGACGTAAAAGCTCGCCTCCAAAAAAAAAACAAGTAAACAACAGTGGCGCAACAGAGGTAAAATGTAGTACATATGTGGAAATTAAAAAACAAATTGGATTTATAGTAAATTACATTTAAAATAATTAGTTTTTGATAATAAAAGAATTTTTGTAGGAACAAGGGTGCCAGACGTGAACTGATCCATTTGTCCCTTCATAATGTATAAAGGAATTATTCAATTTCTAAAACCCGTAAAAGCGTAAACAACAACAACAACAACAACAACAACAACAACAACAGTAAAAAGCGAATTGCACTGAATCCTTTGACAGGCAATGATTTACTACTTTGTATAGAATATGATCCTACTTGAACCTCGGACAAGACGTAAATAAACATCTTTGTCTGGACACAATCATGAAAAATAGATATTTTACCTTAAATATTGTTATAACAATTGTTATTTATTTATGCTAAAACAACAAATGAATAGGGATGATTGTTTCGAATGTACGGTTATTACAATTTATAATTTTTAATATTAACGTTTTAACGTTTTATAATTTATTATGTTAAATAATACACAGTTTTAGTATTTCAATTTATTATTCACTATGCAGTTGCGTATAACCAAAGTTTACATAATAAATGTAAACTTTAGTGTAAATCTAAACTTTGGTGTAACCTAGGTAGGCACTTATTGTTTTTGAGAAAGCAATACTTATGTTTTTTATCTGTTTAAAATGCCAGCACGAGTAAAATAGCATTCATTCGTCCAGGGCACTTTGTTAATAAAGTTCTGCTGCACTTAGGAACCAATTGCAAAATTCAAGACGATTGGGGAAATCAGCTGCTTCTAAAGTTTGAATTTTTTGAAAATGTGTTATGTTAACTCCTTTGCGGGAAAAATGCGGGAGATATGGAGGGTGGTAGATTTTAAATTGTTAGGTAATGGTTTTGTAACCGTGTGTAGTGTATTTTGTATATTCGGGTATTTAGTGTGCCGATTTTTTTTATTTGATAAAATTCAGTGTGCCTACAAATCTCTGCTTTATTTATTTTCTTTTAACGAAAGTTGACCTCGAGAAGTAAGGCTTGTTAAAACATTTTGCACAAAGTTAATACAATTATTAAAATTAGTTATAATAAAATACAGCACGATCCTTTATTTACTTGCATTTTATTGTTTTCGTACATATGTATCCGTATACTAAAGCGGATTAATTAAATGTGAACCGCAGATTATGATGTGACCTTGGCAACGCTGTTCGCCTCAGCTGACGATTTGTTCGTGACAGTACGTTACAAAAATTCCCGAGCATCCGGGCATCTGGCAGGGCCGCCCTCTTAGCGGGAGTTATGGGTTGATTTCCTTCATTTTTAAAAGTCGAGTAAAATTTTTTTTTCCGATTTTCTGTCTTTATTAAGCCTTCCGAATACGTGGTTAAAATTAATGACATTATGACTGAATCACCCTGTATACAGAGTGTTTCGCATAAAAACCGACACAGAGCAGGAACATGTAGAGGAACCCAAAAATATGGTGATTTAACGCAACTTACCTTTATACTAAGCCCTTAGAAGTCGCCTTGAAATTGGGGTTTCAAATGTCGAAAAAAATCAATATCTCGGTTGTTATACTTGAACTTAGAAAAACCAAATTTGGTACACGGTATGAGTGTAGTTACCAAGAGCAGTAATCGAAAGTAAGTAGAGTTCAAATGAAACATTTTAAAGGGTTGATAAGGGATGACGCATCATTAAAATATGACAGAATTTTTTAACCCATTGGCGTACTTAAGAATTTATTACTTTATTTTAAGGAGAATTTAATTCTAAAATTTTTCTTACTCGTGTTTTCAAAAAACTTCGTTTTCAACAAAAACAAAAATAACTAATAATACGTATTGTAGC